ACTCAGCGAGAACAACAGTAATGTAGGCTCTGCTGAAGGTACCACTGCCAATACCTCTAAGTCGCCGCCATTTATTAACCTTAAGAGAGACCCACGACAGGCAGCGGGACGAAGCCAGCAGACTAGTGCTTCGGAAAACAAGGAAGGAGATGTTAGCAAAAATGAAGACCGACAGAATGCTTCAGGAAGTGATCAGACGGAACCAGAGAATAAACAGTCTTCTGGAGAAATGGGCTTAAACTTGTATCAAAGTGATGCGCAAACAAATGAGGTGCAGTACGGCTCAACTGCAGCAAAAGCAGATAGTGTGGGTGCATCACAGGCAGAAGATACCAAACACTCACAGGAAGATGCACTGATGCAAAACATTGAAACGGTGAACTCCTTTAGAAGAGGACCAGCAGCAACTTCATCTCATTTTGAAACCGAAAACTCTTCTCGTTCTGAATTTATTTCCAAAGGCCCAAGCCCTATTACAAGTGGCAGCTTCTCATCTGTTAGACCTCCACAGCAGAATTTTCAGCATCCTAAACCTAATCCACCTGGATTTCAGTTTCAGGCTCCTGCACCTCATAACTTCCCTCCACAAAGCAACCCTATGTTTGGATTTCCTCCTCACTTACCGCCTCCACTTCTTCCTCCTCCAGGCTTTGGCTTTCCTCAAAATCCAATGATGCCATGGCCACCAGTAGCTCATTTATCAGGTCAGCCACCACACTATGCCGGACCCATTGCACAAGGGCTACCAGTGGCTCACAAACAATCAAGATTTTTGGGGCCAGAAAATTTTTTTCAGAGTAAAGACAGTAGGAGACCGGAAAGACGCCACAGTGATCCTTGGGGCAGACAAGAACAGCATTTGGAGAGAGGGTTCAGTAGAGGAAAAAATGATCAACATAGACAAAGATTTTACAGTGAATCCCATCACCAAAAGAAAGACAGACATGAAAAAGAGTGGAACAACGAAAAATACTGGGAGCAAGATTCGGAAAGAAATAGACGCAGAGACAGAAATCAGGAAAAAGAGAGAGAGAGGAAGGGTAGAGAGGAGGGACAGAGAGACAAAGAAAGATTGCGATCTCCACACGGTGATAGGGCTGCAGATGGAAAAAGCCCCAGAGAGACTAGAAATCCAGAAAAAAAGACGGAGAAGCCTAAAAGCGAAGAACAGGCTCATGAAAAAGATAAGGAGAGGGAGAAAAGCAAAGAGAAGTATAGAGAACGGGAAAGTGAAAAGAATAGAGAGAGACATAGGGACCACAGTGACAGAACTAAAAGCAAAAGGTAAAAAGATGCAGGCAGTCTTTTAAAAACCTATTTAAATAAACTGTTAGAGTAATGTCGTAAAACTTTGTATAAAAAGAGAAAAAAAAAAAAAAAGCCTGCTAGGATTGTGCCATCTTTTATATTCAGTGTTGGTGTTTTGCAGAAACAAGTCTGTGTTTTGGTACCACTCAATGTACCAATACTCATCCTTTTTTTCATTATACCAACTATCACTAGAAGTAGGAGTTTAATATTTTTAAAAATTTTACATTGCTGTATATTCAAAATTTTAAAGATTTCTTTTATTAATATGCAATAAAGGCATAGAAATTTTCTTAGCTGATGAAGTTGGCTTTAGTCAAGTCTGCGATATAGTTGCTGCCTTTGGTAATTTGTGCTCTCTTCTGTTTTAAGATGCTCTGATAATTTTAAAGGTGAATTTCGTACAATAACCTTCTTTTTAAATTGCACTGTTTTTAAAGACTAGCAAAGCCTCAGAATCCACACACATTACAACAAAATACAATATGCTTGGTGGTGTGAAGAGTTTTGTTTTTTTAAATTATTCACTAGTACAATAAAATTATTCAAGTGTTTTTCCTTAGTTTTTCAAGTATTTCCTAAGCATCTGAAGCAGTTTGTGACCAGAAATTGGAAGGCTGAGCTGCTCGAATGTTATTGCTTTAAACTGCACTCGTTTTAATAAGAAAGCATTTTTAACCTAAATTCTTGAAAATATGATTTGTAGTAGTAAATTCATTTCTCCCACCATTTTCCTTGCTTCAAAAACTTGAATACCTAAGCTTGTACATTACTTTGTGTTTTGCTATCCTTTTTACTGTAAAATGTAAATATTTTAAGGGATATTTTGATTCTAAAATGATAAAACTTTCTCACATACTGTGTGTGTTTGATTTCATAGGTGTGAAACTGCAGGCTAAATGAACATAGCAGGCTGAGTTAGAGAATGCCACAGTTGTTGCACACTTCGTGGCTTGGTCGTTTTGAGTTTTGGGGGGAGAAGGGCAGAAGGGTGTTTGTACCATTGGGACTTCTAGTAAATTGATATTTTGTCGTGACTACCACCCACTGATGCAAAACAAAAAGCTGAGGGGAAAAAAAAAGCAAACTTGGAAAACAGAAATCTCCTGCTCTTACACTACTTAAAATAGACTGGTCATTTTCTTGAGTCTGTCAGAAACAACAAAAATATTCCACCATATAAAGAAAAACTTAGGTTTAATGTTCTGTTTTTCAGTGTTTTGTTTTTCACATTGAGTACATGATGTTATGTACTGACGTAGCATTTTGCACTTTACTGTGGAAAAGCCTCTTCTTTCCAGAAAGGTCTTTCCAGTTTAACACCACACTTACTGTTAGTTTTAATTATGAATATATTTTAAGGTAAAATTTTGTTTGGATACCTCCTTGCAAGTGGCTTTGTGGTCAAATTGACTAAAATTAAACATCTTGCACCAAGTAAAGGTGGCAGTAGACTTTTATTAAGTAATGTTTCTTAGACTCATAGTTGAGAAGATTCATAAAGAAAAAATCCTCAGTTTATTAGTAAGTAGAAGCAGTGTTTAAACTTTTAACTTTTATAGCATGGTAACATGACATGATTAAATTAGTCTTTTCCAAAGTAATTCCATAGTCTGTATAGCAGTAGTGCCATTGAATATATCTGGTAGTATTATGCATGTATTGTGTTGTTTAAATATTTACATCAGGGTTCTTTAGATATGAAAGTGCCACCAAAGCATTGTTCTGGTTTTTGGAGTAAGTTCTAAGTCAGCAGCTCTGCTTGTGGAGATTTTTGTTTGACCTGTTCAAAAATAAGTCTGCTCCTGTTCCACCAGTGATCCATCTCTCACATTCACATCCATTTGTGCTCTAAAAATAAACTGGGAGCAATGAAAATTGCAACTGTCTGTGCAGAAGGGCTGGGAATGCTTTCTGCCAGAACTACCAGAAATAATTTGTTTGGAAAGAACATATAACAATTTCCAGGTTTGCCATGTGCTTTACTACCTGCCTCTTGTGTGTAGAACCCAGAGAGCGCCACAATAAAACAGCTTTTGAGGGAGAGTTTGTCGAGTTTAAATTAACAAGCAGAGACCATTTCCAGGATTTGGTCCTAGAATCTGAGTTAGTGTAATGGGAATAAGTCCCGCTACTGCAGGAGTAAAGGATGTTGGCTTCTCCATTGCCTTCAGTCACTCCTTCCAACTGGAAGTGCTCCAATCACTTGTTACTTGTTTTACACTGAATCACTGCTCAGGCCACAGAAAGCAGTGTGCACTGATGAGGAACTGGCAGTACACCAGGAGCCCCAGAGAGAACAGGATAAACCCTAAATATGCTCCCTTACCCAGCATCACGTGGCCATAAAAGGCTTTCCTAAGAGAAACTGGAAGAGAAGAAACTGAAGCCAGCTCAGATTCCAAGCAGCCTTCATGAGCTGCCTGTTGGGAAGAGGGGCAGCTCTGCTGCATCAGGCTGATCACTTGAGGGCTCAGAGCAGCTGAAGAGGATAGAAAGAACTTCACAAAGATGTTTGCAGATGCTTATTAAAACATCTTGGGGGTAGTTCCATCACCCCCCCCCCCCCCCCCTTAGTTATATCTGCAAGTCATCAGTAACTGACTTGGCAGTGCATTCATTGCTACCTACTAATTATGGTTATGTGGAAACTAATGTGTGTCAGTAGTTTTATTGTGCTTATTTTCTCTGCTCCGTATTTGCTTTATGGAAAGACAAAAGAAAAAATCAGAAATAATTCCTTGTTTCTGATAGGTACTCACTGAAGACTTGTATTCAGAGAATTTCCATGCAAGGAGGTGATGGTTTATGATGTCCTTTTGAGCAATAGTAAAGTAAAAAAGGAAAAGCTAGGAATTGATCACTATTAGTTTTATTTAAGTATTTTTCTTACTATGTAAGCCAGCAGTCAAATGAGAAATGTAGATACCATCATAAATCATTTAAGTACTTTAAAATATAACTTGATCATTTTGTTTTTATTGCTCACTGAAGTGTAGAATATTACTGAGCTTTTTCAGAAGGAATAGTGGTTTTGCATTTATATATGAACTTTTGAAGACAGGCTTAAGTTCTACACTTCATACACAATGGATAGAGACTCAGAAGGGAGGGAGAACAACTTCATTACCTAGTACAGCGTCTTTGTGGACTTAACAAGTAATTGCAGATGTTACAATTTTAAAAAGTCTCATTACAATAAACATGGTTTTTGCCCCAAGTACACCACCTTACCCCCTCCCCCCAATTTCAGTTTTTACACTTGATTTTAATATTACAAAATTATAAAAGAGAACCTCTGCATTCTAATAAAAGTTAACAGTTTTGGAGAAACAGGTAAGTTGATTGTTCTCATAAAGCAAGAAACAATACTGGAGTGACAGTTGGCTTTAGAAGCTAATTACTCCCTATTTGTCTACAAAACTATTTCCAGCACAATAAAGAAAAGCCTGCTGACTTACCCATTATTTTAAAGTAAACACTAAAAGAGTATGTGTATGTAATTATAAGTACAACATCTGATCACATTTTTATATGCTATTAATACTCAACATTAAAAAGGAACGTGGGACAATTTTATTAAGTGCCTGCTTATGTTGGTTGCTGAGTCTTACACTGCCAGCTAACACAAGAAACAGGAGGAAAAGGAAATTCATCACTTTTTAAAAAAAATTCTTCCAAGAGTTTTTCAATTAATTTCCATAATTTCCGCTGTAGACATTATACCCTTCTGCTTTTATTAGCTGAATCTTCTTAGAATCTTGGAAGAGCACAACATCTTTAATTTTGCCAATGAATTCCTTCTGAAAAAGACCTGTAGTGACTATATTGACTTTCCTGCCAATTTCAAACCCACCAAAATAACAAATGCCACCGTAGTTCAAAGCAGTGTATTTTCTGTGTGGATCAATATCTTCAAAAAGAATTAGCTCCTCATCAAGATACACCTTAATACATGTTTGGTTTTGAACTACAGTAACAAAATGCCATCTTTGGTCACAACAGGTGGAATATTTGCTGTGAATTAGAGGAACAGAGATTCTTTCTCCAAGATTAATCACAACTTTTAATGTTCCATTGGCAAGACCAATGGCAAGGAAATCATTATCTTCATCTTCACCTTTTCCCATCCATACTATTAAGCCTTCAGTTTGATTGGTAGTAAAATTTAAAGAAATGCGGCTGTACTGGAGATCTCTTTTTCCGTAATAAGGATCTGTGTATTTGATGTAGGAGTTGCCGATGAACTTTGCTATAAAAAAATTGATTTTGCTATCGCAGTACTTACCTGACCAGCCTAGTGCACATATGCAGATATATGAAAATGAAGTAGGTTGAGGAATACAGAGCGCTTGAGACCCACACCTGTTTTGTGAACAGTGAATAGATTGTTCACAAGTGCTCCCTACCCACTCCTGTGGGCAAGAACAAGAAAAGCCTGAGTTTTCAACCTGACACGTTCCATTATTTTTGCACACACTGTACCCACAAGCTGTTCCGTCACAGTCGCCAACGTTGGCTCCACCTTTGGCGTCAGTCACGGTAAGCTTCAGTTCCCTGTTGTTTATAACAATTTCTCGTATACAACCAGTGAAACCGGTAGGTTCATTTTGTACTGCCATTGAATTAACAAGGTTTAAGGAGGGCACCCCTCCAACAAAAAAATCTGTGTGCGTGTCTAGTGCGTTCATTCCAGGACTGGCTTTTTGAGTAATGTTGATACCGTCCAGGTCCAGGTAGCCTTCATTACCAACTCTTCCTGCTTGGAGTGAATGCCATGTATTTCCATTTGCACGGACCTTCTGAAAGGTCTGTAGGATGATTGTCTTGTCTCCGAGATTGTAGCGTAACTGTATAAATCCATTTACTAATGATATACATAGAAAGTCACCTGTAAAAAATTGTATAAAATAGTTTCACTTTTTAGAGGCAGCACACTGAAGAGTAGCATGTTCATAACCCTGAGGCTTTTATGCCTGCACTTCCCCAATACAGTAACTTATTTTCAGTAGCCTTGTACCTTCCTGGTGTATAAATCACACAAAGGGAAATGTTCCCTGATGAGCTTCTTGTGGCCATCTTTCTTTGTTTGTTTTTTTTTCCTTTCATTATTGGAAACTGAGCTCGTGTTTGCTTCAAAGAAAAAAGCCCAATGTTCTGAAAAGTTCTCCTTTGGTGCCAAGACTAGATAACTGCAGGTAGGAGGAAACAGGATTACTGGCATCCAGGAAATGTGAGTTGGTGTTCCCACGAAAAAAATCAAGTTTTGGCCAAATTATAAATGCCAGAATGCTCTCCATTTCCATATGCTGAATAAAGGCTTGATGGATTTGTCAGCTTAATGCACTGAAGGTTTGTCTGCACCAAACGTACTCTGCTTTCCCTGAAGCTGCTTTTTGCAACAGGGATGTTCTGGGTTTAATAACGTGGCAGCTGTAGGAACAGATAAGCTTTTTATTGAAAAGGCCTACGTGGCGGGAAGTATTAGGGGGGAATTATCTTTTCTTGTACTATCAGTGTTTCTGGCCTTACAGGCAATGTGAAAGGAGAGCGCATACCGCTTCGACCTGGGCTTACAAACACAAAGAAGAAAAGCTGGGAAAGGTTAGGAAACAGGAGCTGGAAGGAAGGTGTATAAGGGCAGAGATAGAGTCCAACAGGGGAAGGTGACAGGGAGGCAGAAGAGTCTGCAAATTAAAGTCACATTTTCAAGCTTTTTGATGTTTGCCTTTGCAATGTAACTTTTATGTTGCTTTTTGAAATAGTAGGCATAAATTGGTTTGGGTTTTTTTAAAGCAAATTTATCAATTAAATTCATAAATATGTTTATTAAATTTGAATGTAAGCTTTCTCTCCTAATAGTTACCAGTAAAACTTAAGTTTCATGTATATTTTACTAATGAAGAAATACTTTTACATTTTGAAAGTACCGTTTCCTTAAAGATTCAGCAAATGGACCTGGTAGTAGCATGATGAAATTTGCTATCTTGGGGTTTTAATTTTTGAGTGTATCTAATCCTTGAACTACATTGCCTTTAGAGAAATTCAAAATGAATAGCTTAATTTACTGGAGGCTTGTGAAAGTTACTAAAATTATACCTCTCTCTTCAGCAGTTGTTCAGGTTCCCATTTAGGCAGGGTGGAGATGTTTCAGCTGTATTAGTGGCTGTAGAGCGTGTGCTTTGTGCCTCACCTTCCCTGCCCCAGACACCCACAGGAAGAATGAGAAGGCGGATTTTCCTTCTTTCAACTCCAGTCCAGTGATGGCAGAGCACTTCTAACTTGCCAGTTCCCGTTGTGATGATCTGTTGTACTTGTCTGCCTTTGGCGTTCTTTTTGAGCACCTTGATTGTTTCTACTTTATTTCAGAAAATGAATACAATTCTCTTCACTTGTGGTTTCTCTTGCTCAGTGATGTGGCATTAAGCATGCTTAAGTTTTCGGTGGATAGTTTGAATGCGCTCATCTCGCTTGTTTGAGCAATATACATAATCTACTTGTCTATTTCTTTTATCAGGACCTCAATCCTAGGGTAGGAAAGGAGCATCAGAAAAAGTTTCTGAACTACCTTTTTGGCAGCATTCAGTCCCCTCCCCAGACATACAGACATGCATAAGGACATGCGTATTCATTCTTTGCTGTCTAGGAAGAACAAAAACATCTGACTAGGGTTGCTTGCTCATCTGTCATGTAATAAAGAGCTGGAGAAGCTGGAACTTCTCCAAGGCTTCCTGGCCTGCAGGGAAGGTTTTTGGTAGCTTTGCACATTTCACAATGATCTGTCTGAAATGATGTTGGAGAATAGTACTTCAGGGATCTCTAGGAAAAAGTGGACGCAGCTTCAGCAGTTAGTCATAGTGCTTCTTACTCAAGCCTGATGATGCCTGTTGCTAATGCACTTGCAATGAGTTCTGGAGTCTTAGTCTTATTACAAGAGCAAATCTGTGTTACTGCATCTGCGATCTACAGTGTAAAGAAAGGTTATGGCTGAGTACTCTGGATTATGTTCCAGCACAGACTTGAGGCTTCTCTTCAAATTGGAGTAACTTCCTTTTCTGCTAGTTGTGAACAAAAAAAATGAAGCTTTCCAATTTTAATTTTCCCTGAGGGTCTTAAGGCACTTTCTTACTCCCCTGGTTAGATCCTCTCACTGATGACTTGCCATTTTAGTCTTTGGACAGGAGAGTGTTGAGAGAATTTTTTTGATGTGGACATGGATCCCAGGGTTCAGCTCAGTATCCATGAAGTTTATCATGCCATAGGTCCTCCTCAGGGACCACTGACTGAAAACATTTTAGGACTCTAATGTAAGGTGCTGTGTGCTCAGTGTCCATGAAACTTCCTCTCAAAGTGAAGGTAAATTATGGGCTTGTCTTTGTTCCTCTCACTTTATCAACCAGTGACATTTTCAACAAGGGACCTCAATCTGCCCTGTCTCTGAGGGATGAGTTACACAGCTGAAGCCTGTGCAGGCCTATGCCATCATGGGAGTTGCATCACCATTTTAACAAATGGCATTCTTGCCACTGAATTTCTCCTCTGAGCAGTCTCGGCATGGGAGACCACAAAGCAAGGTGGTTTCCACTGTTTCAGTTGGAGCATTACTCAAACCTGTCCCAAACGACCCTCCCTGGGGCCAAAGACCTTTCTGAGGAAGTTTGCTTTTGTTAAGTGTGAAGGAGATGACATCCTCAGTTTTTCCAGGACTAGACTTACAGGTGGTCCCTACATTCCAGAAAATGTGACCCGCACACAGGACACAAAAATTTACTTCCAGCTTTTCAGATTAGCATCTCATCTGATATGGACTGTTCATTCCTATCAGTAGTGTCACAAAAAAAAGCAGAGAGACTCCTGAGGTAGGCACTCACAGTTGTTCTTTTGTTGTGCACGCAAGTCTCTGCCCAACCTGTTGGATGGTGTGCAAGGAACTGTAAGGCAATCTGTATCAATAAGGTTGAATCTTTAGAAACAGGCTATCGTCGCTTAGCTGTGGCTTGAAACTGCGACATGTCAAGACCCTGGGTGTTAAGCAAAATCATCTGTGGTTACAGCATTCAGTTCTGTTCTGATGCACCTTCCTGCCCCTGTCATCTTCCCTGTGTCAGTAAAATAAGAGGGTTTTTTTAGTAGCCCAAATGCTAAGAGATTATTCCCTTGTCTTCTCAGGAGAAGGGGATTTTGTAGCAGGTGTTGCCTTAAGGAAGGAACTGTTCTGGAGTTAAAATAGCACATTTACTTGCAAACCCTAGTTCAGGGTTTTCACCAAATAGTTGATGGACAAAGTTGCTCCACCTCAGGATGGATTGTGTCTATTCCATAGTAGAAGCCAGTATTCCGAATCAGGTATCAATTTTTCTTCATCACTTTAATTTTCAGGTTTTCATTATGTGCACAAGCCTCACTTGTTCCCGTACCAGATATCAGCATTCCCAGAAGCCAACGCTATGTCCTAAGCAGTCAGTTCCTAAAACTGGGAATTAATGAAAAGTTTCCTAGAAGTACATCTGACTACTACTGTGAGGTCTGGATTATCCATGATGATATCTGCTTATATGACTTCTTTTGATGAATTCTGAATGCATCACAAAAATTTTCAGCTTGCTGCTGCTCTGAATAAGTGTGTAAGTCTGTAAGCAAGTCGGTTCCAGTCACACAGTCAAGTCTTAAATTGTCCCAAATGGTGACAATGCCCTTCATGTTCAGCCTTTATGCAGACGTGCAGGTGTGACTGCGTGTCCCCGTCTTGAGAGGCGATCATGCTTAAGCAGTATCAGGTCACTGTGGTTTTATGTTACCACAGGAAACTCATCTACATCATGATGTGTCAAAACTTTGTACCGTTGGAAACGCATGCTAGGAATGCTGCACTCAATTCTGAGATGTCCTATTCATGCCAGAAGCATCACTATGCGTAACAAACGTGATAGTGTTAAATTTACACTATCACAGATCTCTGCAGTTACTGCCTTCACTATCAAATCTGCCTAATGTCAATATATTTCCTAGGAGGACTGAGTACAATGTCAGAGGCTATCAGGCTGACAGACTGGGGGCAGGGAGGGTATCCTGGGTGGTATTTTTAACATTTCTCTTTCAGGGTCTCTTCCCCACAAAGTCTACCCTTGTGCTCCATGTGTATGTATATAAGGCAAGCCATTTATTACCTGTTAGAGTACCTGAATTTATTCCTACCCTTCACTGCAAATTGACAATTAGCCAAACGAGCTTCCAGGACATCCTTTTAAGTAACTTTGGAAGCAGGGGGTGCAGTCTTCTAGTCAGTGGCATTCACCCCTTTGATGCTGTTGTTGTGTCCCCAGCGACACAGAGATGCAAGTCTCTCTAAAGGCTCCGTGTTTGCTCAAAACTCACTCATAAGTTCCTGGACTACTGAAGGTCTAGATTCCTTTACAAAGACTTAAGACATCTGATGCCTGCCCTTTTTCTCATCCTGTGTTTCTAAGCAGAAGCCTGTATGCTGTGCTGGGGACAGAGGCTTTGATGAGCTCAGTGCTTCACCAGCTTCTGCAGGGTCGGTGTCTCAACAGCTCTAGGCAGTGGTTTCCTGGTTACAGAACATCTATAGTCTTGGTTCCTTAGCCATTTCAGCATCTCTGGATGTACATTTGCTGGCCTCAGTCTATGCCTTCTGTTGCTTTTACCTCACCTTTCTGTCCTCTAGCTCACGGGCAGAATGTCCATTTCTATCACTGTGGTATCTGGTAGCATTTTCCGCCTTTCCTCGTTTCTTTTTCAGAAACCTTTATTGATCATTGGCACCGTCTCGATGACAGAGTGAACATTTGAAACTTATTTTCTCATAAGCAGTAACATTCACAGGAATCATTCCCGGTTAATGAAACCTCTTACCGTAGGTTCGTTTTAGTA